ACATATAGAACAGCTCTACTTTCAGCAGATTGTAGACAGCATTTCTTTCATTTATTTATAAAACACTGTCATTTTTAGATAACTGGCTATTTTAATAAAAATTTAAAACAGGAGAGAGAATTGAAAACCCAGTGTTGGATAGGTGATCCAGGAATTTGAGAAGTGTACCCCTTTCACCCATATTGTAGTGCTGAGCATGTTGAAGTTACCTTGACCCTCTTGCACTTCTTCTCTAGCTCATTGAGATTGCGATTTCAATCAATGCCACATGTCAGCTAATTGACAACTAGTGCTGTTTGTTGAAAACAGATACCGTGACTTGGACACACACTCTCACAGTTGGTGTTTAAAGATCAGAGCTCAACTAACTGATACTCATGTTCTTGCTCTTCAACTGGGTGAGGAGACTGAACTCTCAAACACAACTCAGTATCATTAAATCCCTTGGAAGCCATATTTGCAGCATCTTTTTGCTGCATATTAAACAGATCGGTGAAGGAGACATTACCCAAAATGTACTTTGAATCAGGCAAAAGGCAACACATCAGAATCAGGCTGTCCAAAACAAAGAAGTCAAAGAAAAGTTTTAAAGACTGCAGAGAGCTGCTAAGTTGGAAATCTAGCCCATGCTGCAAATCTCCTTGTCTCTCTCCAGTCATCTTGCAAGTCCCAGGGTGCTGGATCTCTACCACAAGAGCTGCTTCCTACTTCTGACCAAGCCTTGGCTCATCCCACCAGGGCCTAGTGGGATGGCTTTGGTAAGGATGCAGCTCAGGGACAAGCCAGCTCCAAAAGGCCCCATGCCATTGGTTGTGCCAAAAGCCAGGACACGCAGAGTGCATACCACCCTCAGACAGTGTTTCCCTCACCCCATCCCAACCATATTCCTCCCTGCCAGCCCAGGGCTGGATGATTTCCCTCCATAGCAGTCATGGCAGCCCAGGCAGGGTCCCCAGGGGGCCCAGCCTTGAGAGGAACATTTTTGGGCTGTTCCACTGGGATTGCCCCCTCAGCAACCAAGGACCAGTTAGGGGAGGACAGTGCTGCAAGGCCAGAAGTTCCCACAGTCCAATCAAAAGCTCCCTTCAGCAGCAGATGAGTTACAGAGACTTTGACTCCATGCACTGCTGCTACGGCAAAGCATGAGCTTCTCCCTTCTTCTGGTTGAAAAGCTTTGCCCACTGCTTTTGCATCAACACAATGCAGGGAGGTTTCGGGTGTCATGGCCTTGCTGAGCAAGTCTTCAAGCAGCTCCTGGAGTCCCTGAGACATAGGTTGTCAACTGCCCAGCTCCAGCCCGCTGACAGCAGGCATGCCCACAGTCACGTCCACCAACTTTCTGCCTATTCATCTCCTTACTTTTGTCAGTAGATTTTCTTGTCTACCTCCGCTTCAGCATTTGTCTTCAGCATTTGCTAGTATTTGTTTCTGACACAGTGTTTGATGCCGGAGCATATATTCTGTGACAGCTTTCCATTTAGTTTCCCTTTGCTTCCTCTTTACTTGTCCATGCAACTCATGACACGCCTGTGCCTGCCACTCCCAATTCCTGGCAGTTGCAGGATTTGATCCAGAGAGCTGTGCGTTATAGCTCCTTCATTACTGAGTAGTCATCCCCAGATTGTGAAAACTGTAATTATTTTTTACGATTACTCTATCCCTGCACATTCTATAAGGGTGGTTTGGCACTGCTATCCAAAAGCCTGAGGGAAATATCCATTGTTGCACCATCTCTGTACTAGCTCTGCTTTAGGCTGTAGTAGGAGGGCCTCATTCCTCTCTGTCCAGGACAGTCCTGAGTTATGCAGCAGGACTAATTCTCATGTTCCCTTGAGGACTGCAATTTTTGTTTCCTCCTATGCAGCCTGAAAGAACATGAGCCAGATGGCTAATCCCATAAAAGTGCAATCCAGGATTATAATGGTTACACTCAAGATGGCATTCACGGTAGCTTGGGAAATCACACAGTTACCAGTGTCACTGGGGTCTTAAGGACCTATTCCTTCAGTTGTAGGATGTCCTTTTACTGTCTGACTCTTGTCATAGGGTCTCTGAATTCAGTACTTTTTTTCCACGGCAGCCATAGTCTCCAAGCATACCAGAAGGTGACACAGTCTGTTCTAAGATTCTTCAGATTTTCCTTCAGTTGTCAATGCCCCTAAGCAGTTGCCTTCAGCAGTCTACGAGTATTAATAAATTCTTCAGATTTACACTGGGGAGTACAGAGACTGAAATGCTGGTGCTTTTGTTTTCCTTTCTTCTTAGTAAGGCATGAATTTACATGGAAGTGGATTGCAAATCATGTAGCATGCTTTTTATTTTTTTATTTTTTAATTTGATCACAATCTTGCAATACTTTTTCTTTCAAGGTATTATACAGAAACCACATATTAACACTCTGAAACATACTTTGTGCGGTGGTTAGTGTATCTGTATTTTGCAGGTAAAACCAAAAAGTGAACTCTCACCTTTTGCCTCAGTAATCACAGAAGACAGAGCTATGTAACTTAGATCAATTTCTATTTTTCCTGCTATTTTGGATTAATTTTCCAGTCTTCACTGAATCCCATACAACTGCCATACACTTACCATTTCCTGAGACAGGTAATTCATGTCTTTGATATTTTCTTTTCTGAAATATCTCTTCCCTAATCTGTATACACATCCTTCTGCTTGTATTTGAATCTAAATATACCTTATACTGGATATACTGCGCAAATTGTCTCTTAAAGAGGTCAGAATCTGGCATCCCAGAAGAAGTGAAATTATTGTAGCATCTTGTTCCCAGGTGCAACCAGTAGTGAGGTTTGTTATGTCCACTACCATGAAAACAGTCATGCACCACAATTGCACATATGCATATGCATAGATGGCTGCTACACAGATCTACACAGATGCACAGAATGCTCTCATGAACACAAGCCTCCCACCCTCTTCTGTCTCTGTCTGAGTAGGTTGAAAGTTTGCTAGCAGAAAACACATACACATCTGTGTACTCAGGGGACACCCCCAGCAGCTTGATTCAGACAATCAGTCTGTCTAGCAGTTGCCCCTAGTCTCTTACTTTCTTGGTAGATATATATATATATCTCCAAGGCTAAGCCCCTCATCTGATGCTGGAACAGTCCTTCACACAAACACACACACACACACATGCACACAGCTGACTAGGATTCCTTCTTGTCCCTTCAGTAGCAGGCTCTGATTACATCCTGAGGCACACACACACTTGCACAAACACACACACACACACACATACACAGGGTTGTCTGACTCATGGTGCACTGCAGTTGCTGTCACTCGGACTCCCTTGCACACACCCAAAATGGAGACTTCCTCACTGAGGAAAAGAGTTAGAAATTGAATTTAATAGTAAGTGAAGAATGACTGTGCTGGTCAGGCACAGAGGAAGGCCAGATAATTGTACTGGCCAGTCAGAGATTTGCATAGGACATAGGACAGGATGTTTTAATTCCCATATTCCTGTATTTTCTTATGCTTTCTCCTCCCTAAACCACCCCAGATCATGGGGCTGAGACCAGTAGCCCAGCTGAAGTGCATCTACACCAATCCATGCAGCATGGCCAACAAACAGGAGGAGCTAGAAGCCATTGTGCGGCAGGAAAACTATGTCTTAGTCAACATCACCAAAAGATGGTGGGGACATTCTTATGACTGGAGTGCTGCAGTGGAGGTCTCTAAGCTCTTTAGAAGGGATAGGCAAAGAAAAGGGGGAGGTAACTTTTCTCTCTTTGTTAGGGAATGCTTCAGTGTTGTAGATCACAATGCTGGGAATTGATAAGGTCAAGTCACTATGGGTAGGATCAGAGGGAAGGCCAACAAGGCTGACATCCTGGTGGAAGTCTGTTACAGACCACCTAACAAGGAGGAAAAGACAGATGAAGCATTCTTTGAGCAGCTGGCAGAAATCAGTCATTTGCTAGCCCTTGTTCTCATGGAGGACTTCAACATGCCTTACATTTGCTGGAAGTAGCATACAGCAGAAAGGAAGAAATCTAGGTTTCTGGAATATGTGGAAGATAACTTCTTGAAACAGCTGGTAAGAGAGCCTACCATGGGAAGCAATGTGCTAGACCTGCTGTTTATAGAAAAGGATTAGGAGACGTGGTGCTCAGAAGCTGCCTTGAGCATAGTGGCTATGAAATGATAGAGTTCTCTATTCTTGGTGAAGACAGGAGTGGGGTCAGCATAACTGCTACCTTGGAATTCTGGAGGGTGGACTTTGAACTGTTTAGGACATTCGTTGGGAGAATTCCTTGGAAATCAGTCCTGACAGTCAAAGGGTGGCAGAAAGGCTGGATGTTCCTCAAGAAGGAAAACTCCAAGGTGCAGGAGCAGACTGCACCCCTGTACCATAAGATGACTGGCCTGGATGAACAGGGAGCTTTTGCTGAGACTCTGGGAAAAAAGGAGTTTACCATCTTTGGAAGAAGAGATAGGCAACATGGGAAGAGTAAAGGATGCTGCTAGGGTATGCAGAGAGAAAATTTGAAAGGAAGAAGTCCAGCAAGAGTTTAGTTTGGCCACCATTGTTAACAGTAATTAAAAATGTTTTTAAAAATATATTAACAGCAAGAGGAGAGCCAAGGAGATTCTCCATCCTTTATTGGATGTGATGGGGAAATATTATCACTGATGATGAGAAAAAAGTGGTGATTCTCAATGACTTCTTTACTTCTGACTTCAATAGTCAGACTAGTTATCCTCAGGATAGTCAGCCCCCTGAGCAGGAGCACAAGGATTAATAACCCTCCCTCCAGTTCAGGAGGAAACAGTTGGCAACCTGCTACTCCACCTTGATTGTTGCACGTTCATTGGGCCAGATGGGATCCACCTGAAAGTACTGAGTAAGCTGGCAGAAGTGTTTGCCAAGGCGTTTTCCATCATTTATCAGCAGTCCTGGTCAACTGCGGAGGTCCCCGACAACTGAAGACTTGCCAGTGTGATACCCATCTACAGAAGGGTCAGAAGGAGGATCCATGGAACTACAGGCCTGTCAGCCTGATCTCAATAACAAGGAAGGTCTTGGAGTTTATCATATGGAGTGTGATCACAAGGCACAACCAGAGTTCATGAAAGTCAGGTCATGCTTGACCAACCTGATATCCTCCTGTGACCAGGTGACCCACTTAGTGGGCGAGGGAAACACTGAGGATGTAGACTGCATAGACTTTAATAAAACCTTTGACTCTGTCTCTCATGATATCCTCCTGCAGCTCGTGGCTTGTGCAGGTATACTCTTCTGTGGGTTAAAAACTGGCTGGATGGCCAGGCTCAGAGAGTGGTGGTGAATGGAATTAAATTCAGCTGGCGACTGATCATGAGTGGTGTTCCTTATAGTTAACTGTACTGGGGCCAGTCCTGTTTCATACCTTTAATGATGATCTAGACAAGGGAATTGAGTGCCTTCTCAATAAGTTTGCAGGTGATACCAAGCTGGGAGGAATTGTTGATCTGTACAGAGTGATCTGGATAGGCTGGATCATGGGGTTTCAACCTTATGGCTTGCCTGGACTTCACTGAGTGAAGAGGAATTGTCTTGGGCTGCATGTACGTAGGTCACTCTGAAAGTAATGCCTCCAGTTTATATTCAAGGAAATGACAACTCATAAAAAGATCACAATAACACTACTTGAAAGAGCAAATTTTCAGCTACAAAATGCTGTTTTTCAATATAGTCACCACCATTAGCTATGCATTTTTGCCAGTAATGAGCAAGAGCTTGCTCCTTAAAATCTGTACCAGCGGAGGTGTCCCAGTGCCACCATTACCACTGCTGAAACAGATCACTCGCCACCTCACTGTGCTGACATCCACTCTTTAGACTCCATAAGCATTTTTTCTGCATGGAGGAATTGAATTACACACCTTTGCTTCATACGCACATCTGTTTCAAATACCATTTTGTCGGTCTGCCCCTCTGCTGTCATCTGTCACATAGCAACAAAATGTAATGAGATACTGGCAGGAAGGTTTAACCTCTACTGCCATGCCACTGACATCTGCCTCTGACTCTGTGGGACAACATAATAAAACTGCATGCATTACTTTAGGAGCAGCTCTTATATAATATGACTCATGCATATAACTAACAAAACTGATTTTAATCTTGAATATTTTTCTATTCCAATTAAAAAAAAAAAAAAAGGAAAGCAATAAAAACATAAAACTAGTGGGATATTTGACCTCATTTTTGTGAAACTAATGCATCAGTCTATTTTAATGGAAGTTGTTGCAATTCTCAGTAAGTTCTGAAGGTATTCATCAGGGATTTTTGCTTAAATTTTACTTTTCCTGTACTTCATCCTTGGAAATAATTGTTCACAAATGCGCGTATTGCCAAAAAGCAATTACATGAATAAGGCATAATTGTGAAGGGAGCGATATTTTTCCCTTGTAAGATAGGTTTTATAAAAGCCTAGTAAAGAATTTTCTTTGAGTTGAGTGTCTGATTGCAACTTTATACACTGAATTGAAAATTCACAGGCAACATGTTAACACAGGCCACATATTAACACTCTGAAACATGCTTTGTGTGGTGGTCAGTGTGTCTGTATCCTGCAGGTAAAACTGAAAAGCAAACTCTCACCTTCTCCCTCTACAGTATCATCCAAAATCAGACACATGCAGAGCTTCTTGTAATGGCATTTCCTCTTTCTTCTAGCAGTCAACTCTTCTGTTACCAGAAATCCCCAGAGCCTTTGGCCTCTCTGGCAGCTCTGTAAGTGGTCACAATATCTATGAAATCTTGTAAAGTCATCAGAATCTTTATTAAGTTGTGATAAATCCAGGAGTTCGAAAGTTTCAAGTTCAGTGTCCATTCTCCTCCATTGTTGTCCTGCCCCATAGCTTCAAAAGCTATCCAATGATTGTTTTGTATGTGAGAGAGGGAAATGTGAGAACTCCCCATGTTGAATAAGTTTCATCAAGAGGTTTATGACATTGCATCTGAGAAGCTTCACTTCTAAAATACAAATTAACAAAGACCTGTGATCAAGGAGATTTAAAACCACACTTGTGAAAAATATTTCCTCTTCAATATACTTCCCAGAAGATAAAAGCCCTGGTTTGATTCATATTACCTCTATTTTTTTGTAAGCTATCAATTTTTTAAATTTTGTAGGTAGAAGTTCACATTAAAAGGTTGTTAGGTATGTGTCTTAAACTCTTAGCTGGGAAGTATCACGGAATCACAGAATCACCAAGGTTGGAAAAGACCTTCAAAATCATCCAGTCCAATCATCCACCTATCACCAGTGGTACTCACTAAACCATGTCCCTCAACACAACATCCAAATGTTCCTTGAACACCTCCAGGGTTGGTGACTCCACCACCTCCCTGGGCAGCACATTCCAGTGCTTGACCACTCTCAGAAAAGTAGTATTTCCTAACATCCAGCCTAAATCTCTCCTGGCGCAGCTTGAAGCCATTCCCTCTAGTTCTATCACTAGTTACGTGAGAGAAGAGGCCGACCCCCAGCTGACTACAACCTCCCTTCAGGTTGTTATAGAGCATAATAATGTCTCCCCTGAGCCTCCTCTTCTCCAGAATGAACAATCCCAGCTCCTTCAGCTACTCCTCATAAGGCCTGTGCTCCAGACCCCTCACCAGCTTTGTTGCCCTTCTTTGAACCGATAGTAAATAGCTAAGAAGCTGAAGTACTGTCGTTATTCTTGTATGAAAGGCTGTTGGAAACTATGAGGTATTTTCAGTCCTTGTAGCACTGTGACGTATAATGAAGTTTTGGGATAAGTTTTTCTAACAGATTAAGCTGCTACCAGTCTTTTGATGTTATTATTTAATTCCTTTGACTCGTGATTTTTCTCTGCAGCAGAACTGTTTTACATAAATGAGACAAGAAAATAACTTCTCACAAAGGAATTAATACTGTTCAAATTGCCCAGTTTTCTAGGTTCTAGGTGATTGGAAAAAGGGAAACTTTGCTCCCATTTTTAAGAAATGTAGAAAGGATAACCCGGGGAACTACAGGCTGGTGAGCCTCATTTCTGTGCTTGGGAAGATCATGAAGCAGATCCCCTTAGAAGCTGTGTTAAGGCACATACGAGACAAAGAGGTAATCTGAGACAGCCAGTATGGGTTCACCAAGGGCAGACTGTGCCTGACCAATCTGTTGGCCTTCTATGATGGAGTGACGGCATCGGTGGACAGGGAAA